GTCAGGGCCTAAGAAAGGTTCCTGGAATTCCTGCCTCCTGAAGAGCATCTACCCAAGGCTGGTGGTGTCAAGGCTCTCAGCTGCGAGGCTTCACATTTTAGCCCACAGCCACCTGTGTCTTCTTGTTTATCCTGGGTCATCACCACAAGAACGGTTCTTACCCACCAGCCCCGAGTGCTGATCTGGCCCAAGTCTTACAAGTTGATATGTACATGGGTTTCATTCTAAGTTGAAATTCTTCAGTTTAGTATAATGAAACTCATGGCCTCTGATGATATTTTTTTAATCTCCTAATTCTTCTTTCTGTCTCTGGTCTCCACCCTTGCTAAGTATCCTTCACCTGCCTCTGGAAAATTTTACTTTTTGACCCTTAGTGTTTACTTTAAAAGCCACCCCATGCATCAAGAGAATTAGGTTCGTTCTTCTTAGTGTGACCAAACATGAGATAAGTGCTACAGTATGCCAGGCAGTAGCCAGACTTGCTGGGTTGAATCCCGCTTTCCGTCTAACAGCAGAGTAACCTTGGGTAACAACTTTAAAGTCAGCCTCAGTTTCTTCATAGGTTGATGGAGATAAAAAAAAAAAAAATAGTGTGCCCCGAGTAAGGTTGTCATGTGGCTTCAATGTGTTAATTCACATAAAACACATAAAAAGTAGCACCTAGTACCTAGTGTGTAGTAAGTGCATAGATATCATTATTGTGTGTAAAAACATCTAGGATCTTGCCCTGACTCTGAATGGGCCATGATCTTGAACTTTGGGTGCCTTTGCACATAGGATTCCCTCAGCCCAACCAGGTTGCTCTCCCCTCTACTCACATCTCTTGTCTAAGGAGAACCTGTTTCCCTTTAAGGCCCCAGGGCAAAGAGCTCCTCTTCTTTGGTGCATCCTCCTTCCTGCAGGCAGAATAACTGGGTCTCCTGGTATTTTGGTGACCCTGGGCTCTGGTGCTTATCAAACTATTTCCAAGTATTTTGTCACTTGCTGGTACATGGACACAACTAGGGTTCCCTTTCCTTTTAAACGAATACGTTTTTTTGAGGGGAAGACATCGATCTCACTGTCTTCATCCTAGTTCATTCTAGAACCGGGCACACAGAAAAGATAACTGGTAAATGTTTGTTCCATAAGTAAATATTTGTTACTCTCATTTTAATCATAAATACAGGGTTTTCTTTTTCTTTCTTTCTTTTTAACTGTTTACAGTGCATCACTGAATTTATAGTGAGAAAGACAAATTTCAGTAGTTTACAAGGCTGGCTGAGATGATTACATCTAACACTGTGGTCAGTTGACTCTGGGAACTTTGGTATTAGTCATTTGAAAAGACTGTCACAGAATAGTTTTGGAGACAAGAGATCATCATCGAAATCACAGTGCTTTCAGACCATTCACAATTTGGGTCTACAATTTAATAATAAGAAAAATACATTTAGCAAGTAAATGTTTAAACATCATTTTGGTTTTGACCTGAAAACAGAAAGTAAAAATAGAGATTTTATTTTTGAATCTTAACATCTGAAATTTAAACAGCTGTTTGCCCACATTTTTACTAATAGATATTAATGTATTTTCATTGGTTAGTAACAGCTTTTCTTCTCATGTTATGGGTAACTTCTTAAAGATTGATAAATGAGTGTTTTAGGAGGTGAGACTGCCTTCTTTGAATGAGAGTGCTTGATTCACCCAGGTGGTTTCCTATTCCCGCTTTCTCTCCTGTGCTGCTTTGGCTTATTTAGATTATAAAAAAGCACAGCCCCATTCAGGCTAGCTAGTGCACAGGGAGGCTTTCTGTTGAGTTCGTGCAAGGCAGAAATCTCATGGAGTAACCGGAGTTAACCTAGAGCCTGGCCCTCACTGGGACTGGAGAATGCTGGAGACAATCTCTGTGCCTTTGGGCTCTGTTTTCTCTTTGGTGTCCCCTTTGTTTTTGCTCTACATTCTCTTCTTTCCACCAATCCCTTTCCTTTGTTTATTCATGGTTTCTGCTTCCTTGTGACATTAGCACATGCAGAGCTTCAAGCTGGTCCTTTCCCCTGCTCCAGTCATGGCATCTTTTCAGTTTATACCTCTGGGCTAACCAGCACCATTGCCTTAAAGGACTCTCAACCTGCCTTTGAGTGGAAATGCACTTTGGTTGCCCTAGGGCTTAGGTTGCTGAACTGCCTGGCTGTATAACTTTTAGGTGTCTGCCCATTGTCTAATCAGCTGTAGCCTCAGGGAAACACAGCTACCTAGAGAAGGGGTTGCAAACGAACTGTTTCTAGGATCCTGGTAGCTTATTAAGGGAGCATTTGAGGCTGAGAAGAAATGCAAGTTACACACCTGACAATCGAGTGGCATCTAAGGATATAAACTCTTGAGTAGAAGGGCTTAGGTTTGAAATCCCCATCTCACCACTTACCACCTGGATAACCTGGAACAAATTACTTAATCTCTGTATGCCTTAGTTTCCTCTCTGTAGAGTGGTTATGAGGATTAAATAAACTTAATAAAGTACTTACAGTGGTGCCTGGCACATAACAACCACTATATAGCTATTTTAAAATGTTTCATTAGCATCAGTATCTTCATTATTGTTGAATTCCACAATGAAATGGACTTTGACCCATTTTTCCTGAAACCGAAGCTGTCTTGGTCTATTTAGTTTTCCTTTTTGTGTAGCCATGAGCAAAAAGAAACACCTCTCTATTGCGTGGATATCAACAGAGCAATAAAAACAAAAACTGGCACTTGTCCTCATTGAGGTGTCAGCATTCAGGCAGGGAAAGACTTTGGCCAATTGGATGTCTGGGTCCTTGTCTAAAGGACAGAGCCTCACCTACCTGAAGGAGATTGCTGTGATATCAGGAGGAGGCCCAGGGCTGTCAGATCTGTCTGTCTTTGCAAGGAGCTTAAATTATGTTTGAAAACTTGTGTTCCTCCATCACATACAACTCCAGATTGGATAGATACAGCACACAGGCTAGTGACCTCTGACCTCAGACTGCTCCTCCAAGAAGATGTGTGGGCAGGGCTGGTCCCTCAGGAGAGGCTACAAGTGGACTTTTTAGTACAGATGAATTAGAAAATTGTACTTCCTGTCCAAGGAGAGTCTAGTGAAGCTTCTCTGAAGGACAGCAGTGTGGCACAGGGAATAACTGATTCTTCCCTTAGTCTGCTTAGTATTTCTAAGGAAAGGTGTTCTTCTTTGATTTTTATTTGTTAGAACAAATGAAAGCCAGACACGGTTGCACACACCTGTAATCCCAGCAGCTCAGGAGGCTGAGGCAGGAAAATTGCAAGTTCAAAGCCAGCCTCAGCAACCTAGTGAGGTCTTCGGCAACTCAGTGAGACCCTGTACTCTAAATAAAATATTAAAAAGAGCCAAGGATGTGGCTCAGTGATTAAGTGCCCCTGGGTTCAATCCCTAGTACCCCCCAAAAGAAAAGAACAAATGAAAATGACATTTTTTAGTTCAGTTATGTAGATCCACTACTGTTTAACTATCGTTCCTGAAAGAGGCACACCTCCCCACACTCTCCAACCTTGTTTTCCTCCCACTTGGCTAAAATGTGTCCGTCCGATGATCCCCACGAACTCATCACTTTCCACAGGCTTCCTCATTTCTTCCTAGTTGTTCATGCTGAAGACTTATTTCTTGTTGTACAGATCTAGTAATGAGCTCCTTTTTTTTTATTTCTTTGTTTTTTTAATCAAGAAATGTCTTAATATGTCCTTCAAGTGTGAGGGATAGTTTTGGTGGATATAGAATTCAGGGTTGGATTGAATTAACTTTGAATACTTCAAACTGATCATCTTTCTGCCTCCTGGCTTCTGGGGTTCCTAAAGAGAAATTAGCTATTGATCTTAAAAAGGATTCCTGTATATGACAAATTGCTTCTTTCTTGCTACTTCCAAGAGTATCTTTTGTTTTCATTTTTCATAATTTCACTGTCTAGGCATACCTCAAGTCTCCCATCCTGAGACACATACACACAGCGTCAGTTATGTCCTCATCTTTTCCACACAGCAGTCAGAGTGCTCTTTCAAGTCCATGAATTAGCACATCATCTCTTGCTTAAAACTACTCACTCTTCATCTGAGAATGAATCAGGCTCAGAATCCTGGCCCATAGTGTGGCCATGGCATTTGGTGCCCACCTGTGCCATTCTCCCTGTGCCTGCTCTCCAGGGGCCCTGCTGATGTTCTCCCTCATTCTAGAGCATACCAGGCTTGGGTCTCCTCCACTTTCTTTAATCCATCTGTTCCCCTTTTTGGAATGTATCTTTCTTCAATTGTCACTTTCCCAAAAGGTCTCTCCTTCCATGTGAGTCACGTAAGGACATAATCTGATTTGTTTTGTGCTTGTCATCAAGTCACAGTTATTCAGTGAATGAATGAATGACTGAACTCTGGGAATTTGGAGGAATGAATAAATAAATAAATATATAGATATGCATATATATATTTATCAGTGGATTTAGTAAAGAATATATATGTATGCGTGTTATTAATTATATATACATATATCTTTAATAAAGAATGTGCACATGTACATTCATATATGTAAATATATGTATACACACATCATTAGGTTAGACTGTATATGTATACATATGTATGTATATTTTTACTAAAAGATATGTACATATATTTATATACTCTTTATTGAAGATATATGTACATATACTTTTTTACTGAAGCCCTCTGATCCAAGAGGCAGGAGGGAAAGGAGGAGACTTCCCTGGAATAATGAGATTTCCTGTATCACTAATATTGTTGATTTACTCAATGTGCAAACGATCCAGAATGTGGAAGGGAATTTACTTGGGCCTGATGTGGCTGTTAGAAGTTAGTACTTGAACATTCCATTTCAAGTATTCTCATTAAAGGTAATAGCAGAAAATTGCAGCAAAGATTGCCCCAGTTTTTAAGTGGTGATCCCCTCTGCAGAGCTGTTGATTTGTTTAGTTAATGCTAATTTATTTAATATACTTCTTACTTATGTTGATTTTTAGGTCTGTTGCCACAGTTATTGGGAGTCGCCCCAGAGAAGGCCATAAAACTCACAGTAAGTCTTTTGAGTTGGTGCTCTTATTAAGGGAATCTGCACAGACTCAAGGATCTAGCCGGTATTCTTCTGTGAACCAGCAGGCTTGTGGTTCCTCTGAGATGCTAATTAATTTGTATATGGGGTACTCAGCACATACAGCTTTTCATTATACCCCACGTAACACTGAACATCCAAAATGTAATGGATTTGAAGATTGTTGGTGGTTGCTGCCATCATTATTTCATCATTGCCGCAACAGCAGCATTTCCTTCTGTATTACCACAGTAGGCACTTAGTGTGTGTAATTTCTCGTTGTTTTAATTGCCAGCAAAATTTGACCCACTGTTTACAGGTAAGGAAAGGTGCACAGGGATTAAGTTGCCTGCCTACATCCACATCATTCATAAGCAGGAAAACTAGAATTCAAAATCAAATTTTCCAACTTCAAAGCACATACTCTTTCAGTTACACCTGCTGTTTATAGACTGTTAGTTTAGGATTTGTTCTGTGAAGCCCCATATTAGGGCTCTGTGTTCTAGTTGAAATTGCTCCTTCATCACTGTTTGCCCAGTGACTGGCTTATGTTGACAGGTGGTTGACATTCAGTTTAAGTTTGTGGAATGAGTAGATATGGCATGTGAATCATTAAGGTCACAAAACCCCAGGAGTTTAAACTCTAGTTTTGAATTGGGCCATGCAGCCTTGGTCCTTACAGTTCTTCTGATGCCTTATATGATGTGACCTCAAGATAACTAATCTTCTCTGGACTGTACTTGCCAAAAACACATGATTGTTCCTTAAGATTGCTTGTTGTACATACCATTTTGAGAATATTATACTTAATTAATTAATGCAATTAAGGTTCTTTGAGAATCCTTGAAGAATTTTTAGATACTGAATTTCTACTAAGCTAAAAAAATCTGCACAGCCAAATTGGTCTCAGTGAAGAGTGCTATATTAGATTAAATCTTGTTAGTAACAAGACTTGAAAGTGATTTTTAATCAAACCTTATAAAACAGTTCTTAAATTATAAGACATGCTTGTATTTTGTTTCTGCTGTCTGTATGTCTTTCTCTTCATGCATTTATAACTGTAGGACATACTTGAATTTGGGGCTTATAAGCCAACATATCTTTAATTCTTCTCCCTGCAACATCAGGGATGCATATATATTTTTTAACCTTTTAAAAACTGCATATATACTGGGCGTGTTAGTTCACACCTGTAATCCCAGGCCAACCTCAGCAACTTTGTGAAGGCTTAAGCAACTCAGAAAGACCCTATCTAAAAATAAAAAAGGCTGGGGATAAAACTTAGGTGCAAAGTGCCTTGGGTTCAATCCCCAGTATAAAAAAAGAAAGGAAAAAAAAAGAAAGAAAAAACTTCATGTATGCTATTAAGAGTACCTCTCTCAAATTATTTTAAGGTTGTTAATTTATCCAATGGACTGACAGAAAAAAATAGCATGTTAACAGATGTATATTTATACGTGTTTAATGCCTTTCTTTATATTTTTCATCAGCTTCTATAAATATTTTTCTTCAAGGTGAATGATTTTGTGAGGGATAAATTTATGCACAAAGATGGTTCCGTCCCACTTGCAGCAGAAATTCTTGCTGGAGGCTGTGTAAGTACCTTTCACTACATTGGGAAGATTTGTTTCACACACTTATCACTACCATGGTCAGAGTGGACTAAGGCTTCTGTTTAACCACAGATCCTGTACAAAGGCAGAGTCTCCTAGGGCAACTCTACCTGTCCTACACAGGCGACCATTCCTGCGGTGGAAGGGTAAATGTCTCTGGTCATACTGCCTGTTAAATTGTGCCTGTGCAGTGCATCATTGCTCGTGGTTAGTTCTGCAGTAGAAGTCATTCATGGCAGAAATGTCTGGCTTTTGAAATATCTTTGTTAACCTTTTCTAAAGTTAATTTGCAGTACATTCTTTCTTCAGGACTCCCTGTCCTAGGTCAGGCACTATGATTTGTAGCTTGAAGTCAGCAGCCATGGCTCTCTGCTTTGCTTTTCCTTACAAGGGGCAGCAACCCTTCAAGCTTCCAGTGCTTCTGGGGGAATGATGCTGGGGACTAACTGGCTGAGGGTGCTCTGCATTGTCAAAACTGTGGAATGATTGCTTCTAGATATGGATAAACAACCCGCATCCTTTTCTGAAGCTCTGCAAAACGTTTTGTCTCGCTTTATCTCATATACTGGTTTGTTCGTGTGAATATAAATACTTTAAGTAAATTAAACTCTTATACAAAGACTGGTGCTATTTAAAGATAAGGTTGGTTAAATAAATAGGCTTTGATCACTCAAGCAATACAGTAGTGGTGGATTTTCTGCCTAACCTGTGTGTCTTTTAGGAAAGATGAGGTCACATTTTCTTTTTCTTTTTTTTTTAATTGTTTTTTTTCTGGACTGGAAATTATTTTATGTCAGCATAAAATAATTTTCTTGAAAAATCATTGAGTTCAGAAGTTGGCCAAACACCTGAGCATTAACATTTGTGTGGAATGGGCTCTCATCTTAATATTGAGTAGCCCCTTCAGCATAATGTGAAATCATGGCTCCTGGTGATTCTTAAAGAGATGGATGGAATTTGGCTTCTCTGTTTGATCATTGACCTGTCAGAGATGGCCAGGTAGGATCCCCCTTGTTCTGTAACTTTAGTAGCATTCAGGACAGGAAAAAAAGGGAGCCTTTAGTGTCCTCAATAAAAAGGGCACACAATAATAATCACAGAGAATGGCAGGAATTGCAGAAACTGCTCTTCCCCATAAGTACTCTTCATTTCAAAAACCTCTATGCATCCATTTGAGTAAATGGGTTTTCTGATTTCTAAATAGGTGTTTTCCATAGGCTGTGTCTAGCCCAGGCTTTCAGGTCATCGCAAGGGATTCAAGATAGCAAGGCATTTATTTCAGTAAGTCAGGTTGAAGGGGTTTGTTTGTTTGCTTTTAAAATTAGATTTTTAAACCTGCTAAAAAGGCACAATTATAGATCTCTATAAGAATACAAAATATAAAATGAATTCTGTGATGCTCCTCAAGATTTTGGCAGTCATCATGGCTTGCTGCCTGGAGGTGTATTTTCTTCTCAATGAAAGCATTTTGCCGACGCATGCATCTGTGTGCCAAGGAGATTGGTTGTGGCACGTATTGTCAGTGTGCCATCTGTAGGTGGTCTTGTTTTCACATGCGGTCGCCCATTTCAAATGCAGAGCACAGGCTGGCATCAGATGTGGTGTCTAGTTATTGTAGAGAAGTGTAGCCCTTTTTCAAACCTGATCTAAACACAGGCTTAAAATTGGAGCCACTTGGGCTTTACAGCTACTTAAAATATCTGTGAAGTTTGCCACCCTGCATCTCAAAGGCAGGTAGAGAGTAGTCCTCAATGTTTCATGTCTCCCCCAGTCCAGGAAAACAGTCCTGTGGGAAGCAAACAACTCCAGGCATCTTTCCATCTTTGAGTGGAAAGATGAGTGATTCCATCTTGTGTGTATGTGAGAGAGAGAGAGAGAGAGAGAGAGAGAGAGAGAGAGAGAGAATGAGAATGAGAATGTGTGTGTGTGTGTTTTAAGTAGTAGCAGCAGCATCTCTCCCAGCAGTCTTTGGCAAAGTTTTCCCTTAACTGGAACCAGTGTGTACTTTAGAAAGACATTGTAAGTTGCATAGCCTGGTCAGTGCAACAGAGGGTTTTGTGAGGTTGTGTCACTTGAGCAGTGCCCTGCCTTAGTCCAGCCAAGCATTACTAGGTGTTGACTTGTAAGTCCCTGGGGAGCTCACCTGGCTTCATTATTACTAAGAGTCAGTACACATGGCTGACTTTTGCACTTGCAACCAAAGCTGTTCATTTCTTTGAACAAGGCTTTTTCTGTTTTATAATCTGTTTTCTACAAAAACAGAAAATATGCAGGGAGATCTCTGTCTCATAACCTCATAACTTCATAGTGCTTAGCCAGTTTTTTCCAAAACCTTATTTAGTTTTTGGAAAAGTGAAAGTGATAGCATGTTTGGAGGAAGCCAATCATGGACACATAAAAGGAATAAAATCTATCCCATTCCTTAACTTGATATTTTTGATATAATAATATCTGTACCTTACGAGATAAAAAAAAAACATTCTTTGGTTTCATTGACACGTCTGAAAAGGTGAGTCTGACTTTATTTTAAAACTTATTTTTCATACTGAGATTAGTTTTAGTTTAGAGCCTTATGAAAAATTTGACTTGGGGATGAGGTTGTGGCTCAGTGGTAGAGCACTCTCCTAGCACGCACGGGGCACTCAGTTCGATCCTCAACACCACATAAAAATAAAATAAGGTATTGTGTTCACCTACAACTAAAAATATACATATTTAAAAATTTTTTTTACTTGAGTTCTCTGAGCATTTTTATAGATTCACACTTCACATATTCAGCACACTTCAAGACTAAACTAGGTGACTGAAACCAAAGTTTACAAATTCTTAAGTTTGAAAGAATTCTTTGCAGTTTACATTTTCTCTGTGAGTTGGATTTTCTACATTCTAAATTAAATCAATAGTTGTGGAAGCTCTGACAGCCCTGGACCCTCAGGCTTCCCTGCACAAAATCTATATACCCCTGTTTCTTCCATCCTTTCCACTCTTGGGTTAGAAGCTCAGGGAGTCTGTTAGTGACAATGGAGGTTCTTAGTAAGTGGCAGAGGAGAAGCCTGTGACCACTACAGATTCCCAGTTAGGTCCCCAGTGACTTTGAAAACTTATATACTATCTCTGTGTATGTTGTTGTTATTGCTTTCTTACTGTCTTAAAAAAAAAATCCTGTATAATTCCTGTGATCTGTAGGTTATAGTCCTTCAACTTCTGTGTGTCTAGTAGAATAGAGGGTTCAAATCCTGACAGTCTGAGATCTTTAGCTTTTGATCCTTTTATCTTCAAAAGGACCAGCTAAGCAAAAGTAGTACTATGACTGATTTTAAGGAAGAAATAGAAATTTGATGATTAATTTATCAGGCATTAAATAAATCTAATATTCACCAAGAAAAAAAATGTTAACAATGTGTAAACCTCTGTGTTTTAAAGTTCATTTAGTAAAACTTATTTATATGCCAATAGAAAATAATAAGGTTCTATAATAATTTTTGGAAAAACAAGTGAACCTGCTTTTGAACTATGATCCTTTAGTAATGGGGCCACAGTATTTTCCTATTGTGATGCTCATGTGTGTATTCATGTAGAAATATACCTGCTGTTTATGGAAATTTACATTTATTTTGAGTGAGCAAAATCAATGAGAATATGATCATGTCACTGGTTCTGAAAGGGATTGTGAGACTATTACCATTGGGAAAATTTGGAATGAAGAGCAGTTTTTTTTTTTTTTTCCCTCCTCTTCAGGTACTAAGGATTAAACCCCAGGCCTGGTACATGCTAGGCAAGCACTCTACCACCAATGCTTTTTTATTTTATTTTAAATCAGGGTCTTGCTAAATTGCCCAGCTGGCTGTAAACGTGGGCTCCTCCTGCCTCAGCCTCCTGAGTAGCTGGGATTACAGACATGCATCACTGTGCCCAGGTTGAAGAGCAGTCTTAATTGCTGTCCCTGGCAAGTAGGCAGCACCCTAATGCTGTCCCCATCTACTTTCTCAATATCATGGGGATTCCCCTGTGCATGATATTTTAATACCTGTTTATAGCCATATGTCAGATGTCATTTTTGAGGCAAGTTTTTATTACTTGCCTTATCTTTTTTACATTACATTCATTTGTGGTTGATGTTTATCTTGAAAAGTTTTGGAAAACACAAAGATACATGAGTGTGCCTACCAGCAAAACTCATAAATGTAACAGGAGGCCCTTGTCCCAATTGCTTTTCCTTTCTTCATCCCCCAAGAGAACCTATCTTGAAATGGGTGTTTTTCATTCCCATGCTCATCTTCCTGCTTTGCATTACATGTGACTGTACTCCTAAGCAATACAAATGTCTGCTTTTGAATATCTCATTCAAACCTGTAGGAACAACTTGATTTCCAGATTGAAGCCCTTGCATTTTCCCATCAGTGCCATTCTTATGCTTTGCTTGTCAGAAAAGAATAGTAAATGGGAGTATCACTTTCAAATGTCGTAATGTGGCATATGCTGTGTGTCTGTTACAGATGTGTAGATTTATAGGCATGTATATAGATATACTTAGGGTTGGAACAGTATATTCATTTAACCAAGTTTTGATTTCTTCCCTAGACTACAGTCATTCCTTCAGTTGCACAGTTTATACTTAACACAACACTAGTAAATTAAAAATTTTAACCATCCCCCACTTCAAAAACACACCCTGCCTGTCTGCCTTACTATTGATCCTCCCTCTCCCCTTGTCTTTCTTTATCTCCCTCTGTCATAGCTCTTACCATCTTTTAACATTCTGTATAATTTTACATATTCATCAAATGACATCTGTTTATTTTCTGCCTCTCTCATTATAAAGGTTAGGTTCCACAAGAGCAGGGGTCTTTTTATTCATAAATGTACCCTCAAGGGTCTCAGGTAGTAGATGGCAAAACAGACTCTTTGTAAATGTTTGTTGAGTGGAAGAATTTTAAAACCAAAATGGCTCTTAAAAGTAAGCTTGTTAAATCTGCAGTTTA